TTATTCGTCAAGACAAACAAACTCGATAACGCAAAATCGTCTGAACTTCCCGAAAGAGAGTGTAGACGAAGACGTAAAGAAAGAACCATGCAATTACATCCCTTTCTTTGTCCCAAAATGTTCAGAGCTTTGAGTCGGACCTTGCACAGGCGCAGGAGGAAACCCGTATTATGTATCAACTCAGAAGACTAGGTTCCAATTTTCACGTATTTTTTGTTGAAGTTTGTTTTATGCCTTTGATCTTCATGTTGTCATCGAAATTTTGCAACAAGGGCATGAAAGGAAACATCGTAAGGGTAAAATCAGAAACGTTCTCAATTTTTCACATTGCCATATTGCATTCAGTTGACATATTTATACTAATCATTGAACGAAAGAGCTTTTATATCAATACCACAACATTATTATTTAGATTACAGTTTAATACGTTGCATACTCATCACAAGAGAATCGAGACAGTTTAGAGAACATAGGCATGATGTATCAGTCTCATCCATGCTCTTCAGGACAAAAACATCTTTGCACCGCAGCGAACATATAGTGCAAACTGGTCGGGATATATGGTTGTTAGAAACCACTTGGAACTCACGGCTAGATAAAAGAAAACTGTGTCCTGGCTTCATGTAAGGTGATTTACCGAGTACGCAGTCGATATGAAGAGTCGAACAACATTTGTCACATGAGTAGAACCACTTCCTTGGATCGGCTGGTTTTTCGCATATCTCACACCAATACTTACCATAGCGATATCCACTGTATCGTAGATAGAGAGGATGTTTGTCGTTCTTGTGGAATACCTCTTTTGGTAAAGTAGCACATTTGAAGCACAAAAAGAAATCCAGTTTAACACAACTCAGTGAGCCGTACACCATTTGGTCACACGCCGAGCACTCCCGAGGAAAAAGTGAGAGGATGAATAAGGAATGCAAATGACTATCATGGCGAAACTCGTCTGAGATTGTAGCACAACGAACATCCAACTTTACATTTCCGCTCTCGTACCTAAAACCACTGCTTGGTCTTTGACAAGCAACACATGTGAAAAAGCTTTTGGAAAGTTCAAGATCTTCTCCAGCTTTGGGATTCGGGTAAAGAGTAAAGTGATTCTTGTGTAACTCATGCCTTTTTTTCCGAGGAAGATTAGCGCATGTTTCATGAAGAATATAATCACAATGCGTGCAAATATAACATGCATCGTAGTAGAATGGAAGGACGCATGCGTAGCATCTTTGGTTTTCGTCGCGAATAAGAACATCTTGATAAATAAATCTTAAAATATGTTCATGACTAAAGTGTTTTATAACTTTGTCATCAATCACCTCAAATGGTGCTATATTTTCGGTTTTGTTATCTTCCTCATCTTCAGGTATTCCATCGAGTTCTTTCCCGTCCCATACATCATCCCTTATTGCGCACTTGGAATGGACCGCATAATGACAAACGGAGCAAGAATACGCTCCATATTGGTTATTGATAGAATTATGGCAAACTCCGCAAATCCACTCCTCCGGACTAAGAATATCGACATGAGAAATTCGGTGATCATGACGATTAATACATATAACACGAGGCAAATCAATGCAATCTCTATGGATGATGAAGCAACATTGATGACATGTGCAAGGATATGAGTCATTATCTCTAGAACCGCAAGCATCACAAGTGAAAGAGATAGAATTGATGGGCATAAGGGAAAGCGGGTGCTTGTGCGCTTTTGGCTTGTCAATAAGTAATGGCTTCTTCAGACAAGCCATACACACCTCGAACACACAACGAGAACAATTGTAGAAAATATCCAATAACTTGTGTCTACAAAGACAACATTGGTCACGTTTACGGTAACCTATGATACGATCATGCAGCTTGAGAGGATGCTTATGATGAGAAGGGATGGTGATCTCAATGCAGTCTTCATGAATATAAACCTCACATCGATTACAAGTCAAGCCTTTGGTGGGTTCAAGTCTCTCTTTGGAACACACTATACATTTAGAGGAAATGTTTGTAGGGAACAAAAAATGACGATGAGCAGCCAATTTAACTGCACCAAGAAACCCGTCACGGATTTTGTCATTCTCTTCCATGTTTTGATTGTATTGAATTGACTTAATACGTGTATGTTTTTATATTGTTATTTATCATGTATCTTATGGAGCAAAATATTCCTTTCGTCTAGATCATTGTAAGAAAAACCTTTCTCAAATTAAACGCAAGAAAGCACTTTTACAGAATAAATTGTTGCTTTGTTTAGCTGCACACGTTTCTTTGACACTATTCTATAAAGGAATCAAAATGAAAGAAAATATTTATGAAATTGCTTAGAAACGTGTGTCTATTTATAATTTTCTATCAGTATTATGTGACAAGAATAAATTGCATTAAAAAATATATATATTATCAGTTTCCCGAAAAAAAAAAAAAAAAACCTAACGCAATAATTTTGATAGGAAAACCAATTGTTAATTGCTAGATGTTTCTACTTTCTACTAGACATGCCAATTAGGACCAAAGTCTATGGGCTAATTCGGTCCGGCCCTAAAAACAGCGGATTCGGGCTTCAAAATATATGTCCAGAAAAAAAAACCAGACCTTTCGAGTTACGTCCGATCGGGCTAAAGGGTTTTTTGGGCTTAGTCCGGCCGGATTCGGGCTAGCCCGAAAAACCTTTAAAAAGATATTTTGATCCTTTTTTTGTTAATATTTTCGTTTAATTGAAAGATTTATTTTATATAAAAAAATTGATAGAGTTGAAAGCTCTAAACTTAGTTTTTTAATTGTATCTTACTACAAATCTAAAAACAAATATTGACTCTACTACCTACTTTGAAATATTCTGATTTTATATTTTATTTGGTACGAGTTTAAATAATTTATTTGGATTATTTATTTGATTTTAAACTTTTTTAAAGCTAAATTAGTGTTACTTGGTTATTTAAATTTTGATTGATTCGATTCATATATATATATATATATATATATTCTTTTTAAGATATTATAAATTATAAGTTTATTTTTTATTATAAAGAAACCCGTCAAGGATTTTGTCATTCTCTTCCATGTTTTAATTGTATTGGATTTACTTGATATGTGTATATTTTTATATTGTTATTTATCATGTATCTTATGGAGCAAACGATTCCTTTCGTCTAGATCATTGTAAGAGAAACCTTTCTTAAACTAAACGAAAGAGAACACTTACAAAAAACGGTTGGCTTTGTTTTGAATGATATTTAAGTTATGTACGAATATTAATTAGCTGGGGCACGTTTCTTTGCCAAAATATATATGAAATTGCTTATAAACGTTTCTTTGCCACCATTCGCCACGTGTCCAGTCCCGTTCCTCCGCCTCACATACACCTCTTGAGTTCGTTAAAGGCCGCTCCTGTATGTTATCAACACGACCCATCGTTTTGGCTCCGACTCTATTTCACATTTTGTTTTTTTTTTGTAAACCTCTCCGACAAGTTAAATTTAAGTGATGTCCAAAAAATGATATATATGTATTGTGTTAACAATAACGTCAAAAGTAGTGACCTAGTGGTAAAAATTTGGGGATATGGTGGTGTCAATCCAGTCTCCCCTTATATTCGATTTTTACTTAGAATTCTTTCACTTCTACTTGGCCAGTCAAAATAGTATCATACTTGATTCATTTGAAACACGGTGAACGGGTATTCAAAAGCTAATTCATCGAGGAAAATCAGTGAGACCGGTTTTGGCATGTATTAGCCCTTGTTATCAAACAAATAAAAATAAAGTCAAATGCATGTTCAAATGTAATTAAACCATATGTAAGTATACGGATATGTGGAATTAATGGATCGAAAACATTTGAACTAGTCGGGTATGACTTATGAGTACGAGAATTGTTAGTGTAGTCAAGAGTGTTGAAAATGTACACCAGAACTATAAAACTAAACCCAACACATATACCAAAAACAGTAAATATTTGTATCAAAATCCTTTAAACTCATTAAACTTATGCTCCAAAACATTTAAAGTGGAAACCAAGTAGCATTTGGGTTAGTGACGAGTTAGATCTCTCATAAAAAGTGAGATTTATGGCCCCTTGAATTCGAGGCTACTTAATTAGAAGTGACTAAACATTTGAAGAATGAGGAATCAGTTTGAAATGATTTTTCTACTTTATCCTCAGATTAAACATAAAGAAAACTAAAGACAAATAAATCCAAACAAATTAACATGCAATCAAACGATTTAACAATGATAAACAAGCATTTGATCATAGGGATTGAGAAGATTAAAGAAAATAAACATAAAGTAAAGACATTTATATTAAGTACTAGTCTAGAGAGCATAAATCAAAGATTTAGTATAATTCTGTTTGTCAAAACACTACCCGCTTTACTTAATTATCATCTAAAATCACTAAACTTTCATTTACAGTCTACAACTTGCATTTCTAGACTATTTCTTGGACCTTTTTAAAAGGTTATTTAGTTTTGTCCACCAAATAGGCAAATACTATACATATGCATCCAATTTTCTCTAAAAATGTAACTAAAACAGTTATTGATAAATACATTATTTCACAAAAAAAAATCAAATGAAAAAACCCACAGAAATCAGTAAAAAAAAAGAAAATAAATATAAATCCACAGAAAGATGAAACAAGTGGGCGATTCCGATTTCCGACTGAAGCCACTCTCTTCTCAGCCTAATGTAACCTTTAAAACTGCGACTTTCTCTAACACAAACCAACCACCATTCGGCACGTGTCCAGTCCCGTTCCTCCGCCTCACACATGACACACCTCTTGAGTCCGTTAAAGGCCGCTCCTTTATGTTATCAATATACACGACCCATCGTTTTGGCTCCGACTCTAGTTCACTATAATACTTTTATTATATACACTATCGAGTTCACAGATTTTGAAGCTAATAAATCCACAGAGATTTTTCTCTCTTTATTAGTCTTCTTTCTTGATCACAATTCATTCTCATTGAGGTCAAAACTCTCTTTGGTCGCTTTAGTTCGGTCAGAATCTTGATTTGGTTAGCTGAAAATGAGTTTGGGTGCTTTGACGGAAGAGAAGAGAAGAGCAACAACTTCATCTTCTTCTTCTTCTTCTTCTTCTGATCAGGTACATATGTCTAATGATATAGCTTGGCAAATGCTTGATAAATCGAGGTTTTTCTTCCTCGGTGCTGCTCTTTTCTCCGGTGTATCCACTGCTCTTTACCCTATGGTAGTTCTCAAAACAAGGCAACAAGTCTCTCCGACTCGTGTCTCATGCGCCAACATTTCTCTGGCTATTGCTAGACTTGAGGGTGTAAGAGGGTTTTACAAGGGGTTTGGAACATCTTTGCTTGGAACTATTCCGGCTCGGGCTCTCTATATGACAGCTCTTGAGATTACGAAGAGTAGTGTAGGTCAAGCAACTGTTAGGTTAGGATTGTCGGATACTACAGCTTTGGCTGTTGCTAATGGTGCAGCTGGTTTGACCTCGGCCGTTGCTGCTCAGGTTGTCTGGACCCCGATTGATGTTGTGAGTCAACGGCTTATGGTTCAAGGCGATCTTTCCTTGAGTAAGCATCTCAATTCCTGGAGTGATGAACTCTTGCAGATACAGAAATGGGTTTGATGCTTTTAGAAAGATTCTTTACACAGATGGACCAAGAGGGTTCTACAGAGGATTTGGGATCTCGATCTTGACTTACGCACCTTCAAATGCCGTATGGTGGGCATCCTATTCTTTGGCTCAAAAATCAATTTGGTCTCGATACAAGCACTCCACCGACCACAAGAAAGATGCTGGTGGCTCAGTGGTGGTTCAAGCGTTGAGTGCAGCTACAGCAAGCGGTTGCTCGGCTTTAGTAACTATGCCAGTAGACACAATCAAGACTCGGTTGCAGGTCTTAGACACAGAAGAGAACGGGAGGAGACGAGCAATGACAGTGATGCAGTCGGTGAAGAGCTTGATGAAGGAAGGAGGAGTTGGGGCTTGTTACAGAGGATTGGGACCAAGGTGGGTCTCAATGTCGATGTCCGCAACAACAATGATCACAACCTACGAGTTCTTGAAGCGCCTGGCAACGAAGAAGCAGAAATGAAATATGATAAAATCATTCATAGTCTCCGTTTCTCCAATCCCTGTTGTGTTTAGACAAAGGAACGAAATGGTAAAACTATCCAAAATACTTTGATTGAGCTAGGGCACTGGATTTAAATTATATTTTTACCGAGAATGTTTCACTTCCACTTGGTTATTAAAAATAGTATCATACTTTAGATTCATTTGAAACTCGGTAAATGTTTAAGGTTTTGAACGACACTCGGTGAATAGGATCGGTTTTTGAATTAATTTTCTTGAAACTTTAGTAAAAATAGTATCATACTTTAGACTAGATTTTAACATGCGGTACACCACATGACAATTTATTTACTAAAAATAGTAGTTTTTAAAATTTAATGATTAAGTATTCTATATAAAAATTTGCAAATATTTTCATTTTATAAGACATTTATATTTTTATAGTTTACAATTATTATTAAGTAACGCTATACCACGAGATAATTTTTGTTTTATAAATGTCTTATTTAAATCAGACTGATTCGATATGTCTAATAATCGAGGTGTTAAAAAAAAAAAGGGTTTAACCTGTATGGAAGCGGCGAGTTAATGATATTTTAAATTTTTATTAATGTTAATTCAAATATGTCCGGCCATATAACCCGTCCCAAAATATAATCCGTCCTGTGTTATTTTTTTTAATATGTTCAAATATTCATAATATTATAAATTTTTTTATTGATTTTAATTTGTCCCATATTAAAGCGGCGAGTTAATGATATTTTAAATTTTTATTAATGTTGATTCAAAATCCGTCCTGCCAGGCCACTATAAAACCTCGTCCCGCAATATAATTCGTCCCGTATTACTTTTTATTTTTATAAGTTCAAATTTTCATAATATTATAAACTTTATTTTGCTTTCAAATAAAACTAAATTAACCCGTATACAAACTTTTAAATTTGGATGCTTGTTAAGTTAAGGTTCCTGCTCATTCGAATTTGGATTCGTTTTGATCTATTTATAATATGACTCTGAATTATTTTCTAAACATTTTAGCAGATGTGTGACGTTAAACACACACTTTTTCATTAATTGGGTAATATATGTTTGTTTTTAAAATTTTGAATCACAATATATGCAAAAAAAAAAAATTGAGATTTTTTTTAACTTTATGTATTATATGATAATTCAAAACAGTTAAAAATAATCAAACAAAGATGAAAGGAGAATCATAAATTTAAATCAGAACCAAATCTTCTAAATATCTTTATAAATATAGAAACGTAATTAGTGGATACGATCCAATTTTGGTAATATTTGTATCCAATTTTTAGGCAAATACTGGTGTAAGAGTTGTGTTAAATATAATCCGATCCAACCAAATTTTTATGAATAAAAATTTTTATCGGGTCGGATAGCATTTGTATCCGAAAATAATTTAACCAACCTGCTAAAATGTACTTCAAAAATACTAGTATAGATTCATTTGATACTACTCCTTTGTTTCATACTACTCCTTTGTTTCATTCTAAGTGATGTTTAACGTTTTTGCATAGAGATAAAAAAAAATCACAAAATTTTTATTCAATTTACCTTTCTTCTCTTTTTCAATTTCACTAGATTTTTTCTCGTAAAGAAAACCAGAGTTTATCTCCGATGAGGGTTTGTTTAATTCAACGTTGATTCACGAAAACCAAACAGAAATTTAGAGCAGCTGATAGAAGAAAGTCGAGAAAGAGATCAATTTACTTTGCACAAGGTGGAGATTCACGGTGGCAGAGACGAACAATCTCGCATAGCAGAAAATAATTCCGGTAGAGCCTCCGATTGGGTGAAAAGGGTTGCGTCATCGATCTGGAGAGAGAGACTACTTCGTACACCACCGTCTAAACACCACCATCTTCGTACACCACCGTTTCGTAAACCACTACTTTGTACACCATCTTCTAGACACCACCATCTTTGTACACCACACCAATATTTCGTACACCACTGTCTAGACACCACCATCTTCGTACACCACTACTTTGTACACCATGTCACCGTCTCGTACACCAATACTTCGTACACCATCGTTACCGTCTCGTACACCAATGCTTTATACACCACCGTCTAGACACCACCATCTTCGTATACCACCATCTCGTACACCACCGTCTCGTACACCACTACTTCGTAGGCCACCGTCTAGACACCACCATATTCGTACATCATCCCATCGCTTGATTACTTATTCTTCACCTCTGAACCACCGCCTCATCATCTTGCTCCGCCGCACACCTCCGGGGAGAATATACTGATTCTCCCTCTTCAAACCACCACAGCCTTTCTCAAGCGTAGATTCCAAGTCCTTTTCACTTTCTCCTCTTCCTCCTCTCCACTTCTTTTCTCTTCTTCACCAACACCAGAAATCTCTCTCCGACGAAATCTCTTTGGAGTAAGTGGGTGCATATAAATTACTTCGTCGCAGATCGTACTGGGAAGTTAAAGCTCAATCATACCAAGGCTCATGGACGTGGAATAAAATTCTCAAGATGAGAGAATTGTCCCTAAACTTTCATAAGGTGGAAATAAAAAGTGGTAGAGGAACTTCGTTTTGGTATGATCAATGGTCGACTATGGGGAAGCTATGGGATATTACAGGAGATAGAGGCTTCATTGATATGGGGATAAGTAAACTCGCAAAAGTTAACGAAGTTCTACACAATCACAGAGGAAGACGGCATAGAACAGAGATCTTGAACAAAATAGAAGCCGAAATAAACGCAGCAAGACTAAGGAGAAATGAGGTAGAGGAAGATGTCAACTTGCGGAGATGGGGGTCTGATTTTAAACGTAAATTCTCATCATGGGAGACATGGACACTCATAAGAGAAGAGAAGCTTAAATGCAGCTGGGCAAGAGGCGTTTGGTTTCCACAAGCTACACCAAAATAAAAAAAATAAAAAATGTTACTTACTACGAAAGGGTGCGAGTAAGATACGTAACTTGTCGGATAAGCTACAAATGTTACCAACGGTTACGTAGAGTAGTTATGTAAACATGTATATATATATATATAAGTATGTGTGTCTTGTCTTAATAAAACAACAAGTTTAATTTTCAGTTAAAAGTTCCTATTTCGTTCTTGTCTTCTTTAAAAGAGAAGAGATATTAAATCTTACTATGTTTCTTCATTCTCCCTCAATAAACCAACCACCATTCGTCACATGTCCAGTCCCATTCCTCCGCCTCACACACCTCTTGAGTCCGTTAAAGGCCGCTCCGTTATGTTATCAACACGACCCATCGTTTTGGCTCCGACTCTATTTCACATTTTTTTTTTTTTGTAAACCTCTCCGACAAGTTAAATTTAAGTGATGTCCAAAAAATGATATATATGTATTGCGTTAACAATAACGTCAAAAGTAGTGACCTAGTGGTAAAAGTTTGGGGATATGGTGTCAATCCATTCTTTCTCCCCTTATATTCGATTTTTTACTTAGAATTCTTTCACTTCTACTTGGCCAGTCAAAATAGTATCATACTTTAGATTCATTTGAAACACGGTGAACAGGTATTCAAAAGCTAATTCATCTAGGAAAATCAGTGAGACCGGTTTTGGCATGTATTAGCCCTTGTTATCAAACAAATAAAAATAAAGTTAAATGCATGTTAAAATGTAATTAAACCAAATGTAAGTATACGGATATGGGGAATTAATGGATCGAAAACATTTGAACTAGTCGGGTATGACTTATGAGTATGAAAATCAAACTAGTCGACCAGTTTACCGTGTCAAGAGTGTTGAACATGTACACCAGAACTATACAACTAAACCCAACACATATACCAAAAACAGTAAATATAAAACTAATTTGGAGAAGGGAAATGATATGGAGATTACTCAAACAGGGGGAGTCAACAACAAACCAGTGACCAAGAAAATTGGGAAGCAGAGGCATCAACGACGACCTATTCTGAATAAAAAAAGATATGATTCAAGTGCGGCCTCAAGCAAACTCTAATAAAGCTTCCTCTCGGAAGTTATAATGACGTCAATTTTTTCATGGAACATGCGTGGATTCAATAATCCGCACAAACAAAATGTTGTTCGACAGTGGGTGAAATCACAGAAATTTGCAGTTGGTTGTCTTCTTGAAACTCGTATCCAGGAGGATAATTTCCGGTCAATTTTTGAGTCCACATTCCCTGGATGGCAGCGTCTTCATAATTATGAGTATAACAGGTTGGGGAGAATTTGGGTTTGTTGGTCGGTGGAAGTTGATTTACACCTTATTCATATGAGTGCTCAACAAATCACTTGTTGGATAAGGTTCAAATCAACGGGAGAGTATTTTATTTGTTCTTTTGTCTACGCATCGAATTTTGTTATTGAAAGAAGAGCATTGTGGCAAGATCTTACGGATATTCAGTCGGGCTGTGTACAAAATATAAACCCTTGGATTGTTGTTGGTGATTTCAATGTCACTCTTACTTCTGTAGAGCACTCACGGTATCTTGATTATATTCATGATCAGACAGGTATGCGTGAATTTCTGAATATGGTACAACATTGTGGGCTAGAGGACTTGTCTTATGTTGGTCAAGTATTTACTTGGATTAACAATCAAGATGACAATCCTATTAGTAAGAAGCTAGACCGTGCACTAGTGAATGGATGTTGGCTGAGAACTTTCTCTAACGCTTTCGCTTCCTTTGAAATGGGAGGAGTCTCGGATCACGCTCGGCTTGGGGTCCAAATTAGAACTTCATCACCTTCTAATCGACGGCCGTTTCAATTCTTTAATCATTTAACCTCTCACCCGCAATTTTTGGAAATTGTGGCTCATGTATGGGCTTTATCACCGCAGCTGTTTCATTCTCGCTCTGCCCTCACTAAGTTGCACAAGAAACTAAAGTCTTTAAAAGAGCCTCTAAGGAGACGTAATCGGGAACGGTATGGCGACCTTCCCTCTCGGGTTAAAGCAGCGTATGAAACACTGTGTATAAAACAGAATGAAGCTTTGCAGGATCCTCAAGTCGAGACTTTTGAGGCTGTTTCAGAGGCTTCCGAAAGATG